AAGAATTATGTAATAAATAATCAAATAATTTTTGATTTAAAATGGTCTTCACGTCCAACCGTTTTCCACTGATGTAAATATGTGGAGCAGTACTGACAAATTTTATATTATCCGATATTTCTCTACATAGTCAATAAGGCTGAAAGCTTTAGTTTCGTTATCATCGTGCAGTAATCACTTTGCGCTCTGTTTACTACTAATACGATATTCTTAAACAATTTGTAAAGTTTCAGGAACTTGCAAGCTCATAACATAATTGCATAATAAAAAAAATTGGTTAGGCTAGGTTAGGTCTGCAAATATCTACAGACGTGACATTTTCGCGTCAACTAGGCACGTTAACCAAAAGACACTAGTTAGAATCTCGGAATCGTGGAAAGTTTTCCGATGAATTATCTTTGACACTCACTTTTAAAATTTCATCAGAAGTAATATTGTTCGTCATGCATTTAAAAATTACCAACTTCACCTCTTTGTTTTAATAAAATGAATTAAATTCCCTGACACTTACATGACCTTACATTTTATTTTATTCATAGGACTCTTACAGTGCCAATACTATATCTTATCTTTATCAATACGATAACTTGTTAACTTATTTTCTTCAATAGTTTAGTGAGCTTAAGTATAATTAAAATTTAGCATATAATAATAAAACAATAATAAATTATCGAAACAAGTAATGCCGAGGGTCAAATTCCTAAAGAGCATAAATATTAATAATTGTTGTATGAGGAAAAAGTCTACATTATGATGTTCTCCGTGTAAGCATTGCAAAAAGTAATATATTACATAATTAGGACAGTTATGTGAGACCAATTCACTGTGTTGCAATTGGACGTAATTCGGCCATCGTCAAAAATAGTATACTGAAGTTAATATATTAATACAATTTCAACATTATCTGAAAATGAAGAAATTATTTCTAAGAAATAACATCATAATATTTCAATGTCATTTCAAATTGTGGGAGAGGCCTATGTCTAATAGTGAATTTAAACAGATCTATTTCGATCGCAAAAAATCGTAGTTACTGTTAACTTATAAACCAGTATTTATACTAGTCCAGTATTATTATTAATCCTCGAGTCCTTTAATATCTTCACGTTTTGCCTTAATATTTAAAATATCTTGGATAGTGTTGTTAATTAACACCGACTTCTTAATGTAGGTCGTCGCGCATCTTAAAGGCGTTGGAAATGAATTTCACATTTCAACGTAAAACGGCAGTATGACATAAACATATATTTGATTTTCTTTGCTCTCGTCGTTTTAACGTTTCTCATCTGTCCTTAAATTTTAGCTATAGTTCAGTCAGCTATTTGTATCTCGAACAATTCGTAAAACGAGAACATAAAATATTTCGGGGAAAGTATTTAATGATATGCTGATGATACGGAATATACTACTACACATCTCTCAATGAGCTTGTGAAGTGTTGAAATTTTCTAGACGCTGAGATTGTTGCCATCCTTACTATCCTCACTATATAATACTCCCGGCAAACGTTGTTCTGCCATATAAATTATTTGTAGGGTAGAAAAAACTGTTTAGGGTGGACCACCCTTAACATTTAGGGGGATGAAAAATAGATGTTGTCCGATTCTCCACCCTGGCCGATATGCACAAAAATTTCACGAAAATCGGTCGAACCGTTTCGGAGGAGTTCAGTTACAAACACCGTGACACAATTTTTTGTATCCTTACTAATATTATAAATGCGAATGTTTGTATGTATGGATGGATGTTTGTTACTCTTTTACGCAAATACTACTGAATGGATTTTAGTGAAACTTTACAATAATATAGCTTATGCGGTATGCCTCAGAATAACACAGGCTCTAATATATAAAGATATTGTGTGAATTGTACAAAATATAGGTAATGATAAGTGTCAACTAAGTAATGTATAATAAAAAGGTCAGTGTTAATTTGCTATGGCCGCGCGGGTGAAGCTGCGGATAACAACTAGTGGGATATATATTTTAATACATTCATACAATTTTGGCTCACTGGGTGAGAAAACTCGACCTCGAATCACGAGTCGATGACTCCCTCAGACCGATCGCTCTTGTTGTGAAATATGCATCTATAGATTTTTTTACTATAGCACGTAAGGCAAAAATGGATACATTTTTTTTTATTATTAATAAAGAAGAGCTTCAAATATTATAAATATTTCTATTCTAGTTATAGCGAAATATTTTTTATTCCTTTGCAACTATTTTGATTTAGTTGCAAAGGAATAAAAAATATTTCGCTTCATTCACTTTTTAACACTATTATTTAATATATCTATTGGTAGTGGATTAGATTATTTTGTACTGAATTAACAAATAACATATTGGCCTAGGTCAACCTTTATGGTTTGACAATAACACGTTATAATATTAATGGTCGGCCTCAGGCGGCTGTTCAAAAATAATCCTACTTCTGGCAAAGACACTTTGACTACTATATAGATTGCATGCACTTGATATTTATGTACGTGTAGAGTTTTGAATGCTCCACCGAATCCATCACGTAAGCAATATCGAAATTACTTTATTTTGGCAGATGGTGACGAGTGATTGCTGCGAGTGGTTTCACCATTGCTATTGATACTTGATCTGTACAAACAAGACTAAAGGCCCATTTACACGATGCCATTTTCTTGTACATACAAGTGCAATAATTGAATGCAATAAATTGCGCGAAATAATTGTTTAGACCATTTGTTGTTTAGACCATGCAACTTATTTATGGCTTCAATTTAATTGTATACAAGAGGCAAGAAACTGGCACCGTGTAAATGGGCCTTAATGCTGCTATATATTCAACTATTTACCTTAACAGTTACTATAGAGACAGTCCAAAAAAGGTTAAGATATCTTAGCAACATTGTAGGGATTTATCATAACCCGCATTCCATTATCTTAGAATGGAGAAAAGATTTAAGTCAGGATTTTTGCACAAGCGTTTAACTTATAAAGCCGTATTGTTAATGTGTCATGTTAAATAATAAAAATAATTGTCTTCATAGAGGACTAGTTTGCCTCAGACCATAATTTAAAACCTGTGAACATGGAAATTCGTTAAAGTTGTGCTAAAACATCGCAGCACTATGTTATAGTTATATTCATAATATAATCAATAAAGTACATGGGGGGCAGAAAATTCTTAATAAAATTGATTTTTCACCGTACTGCCCCATCACCTCAGTACACTTTTGAGCGGGAAAGTAACTTTTCAATATACTCTTAATATTTTCTTTCTTTGTTGAGGTTGGGGAACTGCGGTCTATTTTACTTCTTTTTTTTTAACTTCGTTAAACTACCTAGGTAGTGTAGTGTTTGTGTAAGATGCGGCAGTAATACTTTGACATTTTTGTGTACTCTTAAATTAGTAAGAGTCACTGGATAGACTCTTGCTTGCTCAAAGGATCGTAGTAATGAACCTAGATTTCATCATTTGTGCCGATTCGGTCGAAAATACTATGCGGATTTCAACACAGAGCTTTTAAAACTCCTTGCAACACTCAACTCGCAGTTGTTTTTGAAGCGCAGTGAGCATTCGCGGCACTGTCCATTGACAGAATCCCCCGGTTGGTCCCTTCTGTATTAAAAAAAAAGAATAAGCTATCCTTCGCCATACCATAGATACGTAGGTAGTTTTTCACTCTTACACTAGACCACATATGAATAATAGATATATAGAGGCAGAAGTTTGGTCAAAGTTGACTTGTTATTTTCGTAATTATATTTTCAATTAAATGAAACTTTGTATTTATACCCCCAAAGAGTAAAGTAAAAAAAAAGTAACAGCCTATACATGTCCCACTGCTGGGCAAAGGTCTCCTCTATAAAGAGGGTATCAGGGCATAGTCCACCACGCGGCCACATTGCGGATTGGCGGACTTCACATATCTTCGAAAAATATTTTTTTTTGTTATTATTGCGAAAATATGCAGGTTTCCTCACGATGTTTTCCTTCACCGCGGAGCACGAGATAAGTCAGCACTTAAAGTTAAAAACTTCATTGGTGCCGGCACCGGGGATCGAACTCAGGTTGCTCGAGTATATACAGCGTGTCGTTACCATCGCGCCAATAAATGAACACACGTCTAACGCAACTTACCAATAATCAAAAAAAATATTAACGTTTAACAAAATCCATAATTAAAAAAATTTTTTTCAAACAAACTAATTAAGTAAAAAAGAAACAAAATTTGTAACATCCTATACAACTCGCGCCACAGCGTCGCATTACAAGCCTCTCCTTCTAACAGTATGTTTTGTCTCTTTTAAATTCATTCAACCCATTCATATGCTTTGCGACCTTTACAAATGGATTTTACGTTACAGTTTTATACGTAAGAATGTTCTAAAATTCTTTGTTTTGGAAAATTTAATAACTCGGTAAATATTCATGTATAAAGAATGTAAATTTTAATACAATTTATAAAAGTTATCCTCTATATGTGTGTTCATTTATTGTCGCGATGGTAACAACACGCTGTATATAAAGGCGAGCGCCCGGACACTAGCTATCACGGCTATTGTGAAAAAGAGTGTATTTAATTAATACGATAATTTAATTACCCTCATTAATAGTAGTACCTGGAGCTTTGCTCGGTTTTTTATTTGGTAAATTGTGTATTTTGAAAATTACATTTAGATACAAATTACTGAGTAATGATATATGCGTAATATTTTTCGATGTTACCGACGTAATAATAACAAAATATGAACTGGTGTTTTTCACAAAAGAAAAAACTTTAAAAAAAGGGAAAAAATAACAAAATCATCTGGATCGACAAAAAATAAAGAAAGCAATGATCTGGAATCGAAAAAATGTATAAAAAGTAGTATGCTCAAGTTATCGTGAAACAATTAATATAGCACCGTTCAGATTATGCAAATCACATTTAGGGAACGTTTTAATTGTGTCAGTGCACGCATGACAGCCGGAAATGCGAGGTTTGTTTAGTTTGCACACTTATTTCTGTCTGCGCGGTGTCATCTGGGGGCGTCATCGGCCGCCCAGCGGCTGGGCGGGCCGGGTGGCTTGGCTTTAGTGCGCGAGTTTCGCAACGGCTCGATGCGCCCGCCGATCGAGTTATGGTCTATACGCGTTTGCGAAACAGTAATTATACGCTCGGAAGGTGCATTCGATTCACTCGTAGCGTTATTGTTTTGATTGCGTGCCAGATCGACGCCCAGGTCATCGTGATGCAGTTCAACATTCCGTGCTCCGGGCATTTCTAGTTGCGACGTCATTTTCAATAGTCAAATCGACACACGCGAAGTTGTTTTCACAATACTAGCTGGTATTTTATACACCTGTCCCGCAACTGCGTCCAATATAAACAAGACATTTGGCTCTTGGGCACTAGAAAGTAACAGACTGATAAAAATACCTATATAATTTATTTCAACATCAAACGGCTACACATTTTTGTGATATCATTTAGACTTAATCATACTGTCTATTACTTATTTAAGATGTCAAGAAATAGCGCCTCTTTAATTTTTTCAGGCTATTATTTGCGATTTTGGAACTGTTAGTTAATACCTATGTAATTTGTCAATACGAAGTTGATTTTATTTTTGGTTTGGTGTGTCTGTTGTTGTGACACCAATACAATATATGTAAATGCACACTGATTAATTTAAAAACGTTTATATGACACATTAGGAAGTATAATAATACGGCCAATATTTTTTTTCCCTCTTAGTGTTTATGTTTTTCATTTTTCATTTTTTTAGTGCTTAATTAGAAGACGTCGTCATAGACGTGCTTACCTCATTGCAAAGGACCTTTAAGTGTTATCAAAAATGTTTAACCTTGTTCTTATATTATGGAGCAACTTAACAGGTATGCCGATCAATACATGCAAATAAGAAACGCAGCGTTTTTTTTTTATGTGAAAATTTGCCAAACGAGCGGACGGTTCACCTGATGTTATGAATATGAATACCGCCGCCCATGGACATCTGCTACACCCGAGGGTTACAGATGCGTTGACAACCTTTTGAAAATTGGGCTCCGGCTACCTTACTCACCAGACGAAACGCGAAAGTATTTGTCATTCTTCCACTTTACGCTGGTCTTCTGTGAGGTCATGGTACTTACCCGGACGGGCCTGCCCATTCGTTCAACAGCCGAGGCTGCTGCGTGGCCCGTAAAACCACCGTTAAATTAAATCATTTAAATTAAAATTATTTGTATGTAGGTAAATAACATGTAGTCGGTATTAAATAACTTTAAATTTGCCGTGTTCGTGTGCGCGCTTAGTTACAAGAAACTGCAATCAACTAATGGTGACACGAGCGTCCAAAATGCCAACTTGGGTCTCGTAATGCACATTAGTTAGGTGCGCGTCGCGTTCCTTGGTACGCCGCCAGAATGACCGTTCCTTTTGGCTTGTCGATACGGGCCGCGCCGTAAGCTAAAATAATGTCAGTCCAGAGACTAACGAACTTAGACGGCTGACCTACAAAGGCGCTGCATCAGGTAGAGCAATTGACCGAGTTTTTTTGCGATTACTTATGGCGATGACGCGCGCCTCCGCGTGCAATTCCCGCGCGCAATTTCTAATGTAGGTACACTTTGATCTTCCACGAATACAGCTGTGCGCTCTTGAACACTACCAGTAAACTACAACTCGATTTTAGTTCAACATGTTTGAATCGAGAGTAAATTGGCTTTTACTTCACGATACGAAATACATCTTATACTATTGTTCTCATCTTCAATGAATTATGACTTAGCATATATCGAAAAACTCCACGGACTTAAGTCTGTTATACTGACGTAGAGTTGAGTTTGATTCCATTATCTGGAGCAAATAATTTTCTATTGACGATTCCGTTAGAAATTTCATTACTATTCTTAAATTCCATTATATATGTTTTAAACTACGAATAGGACACGTATATTTTATCGTTACAAATATAACTATCTTGCGCTATGAACCCTTTATATTTGTTTATGGTACGGTGTAAAAATTGTAATGCTAATTACTTCAACATCATACATGATAAGATTTTTTTTTATGTGAGAAGGTAGCAAGCGATCTGGTGGATCAAGCGTCATTTTTTATGTGAGAAGGTAGCAAGCGATCTGGTGGATCAAGCGTCGCCGCCCATAGACATTTGCAACACCCATAAGGTTCCAGATGTGTTGCCAACTTTCAATTAAATGGACTCACGTTACCTCATTCGACAGACGAAACGCAGAATTATAACACTTCCACTTCAGCCAGTCTTCTGTACGGTCGTGATACTTCCCGGATGGACGTGCCCATTCGTGCAACAGTGAAAACTGTTGCGTGGCCCTACTATTGATAAAGTGTGAGAGATGTTTTTCGTCCGATAACAGTAAAAAAAGCGCTATAGTTATCAACTCTGTCCCAAAGCTGAAAATAGCCGATGCTCCGGTGATATTGGTGTTTACATGAAATACACAGATACATTGTGTAAGCACCGGTCGGGGGATGTTACATAATTTTTCAGACAACGTTGGCGCCCGTTGCGTGGGCACGCTGTAAAGCTTCGACGCGTCCGTCAAACTTGTTTACCGATTTAAATCTGTATTAATAGACTAATTAAAGAGCCAATTTGCAGGCATTTGCAAAATTTGCGTCGAGATATAAATTGCACCGCATTATTAATTTTATTTACATTGAAACATGAATATCGTTTCACCTTGTCGTTAAACTACCTATGCATTGGTAAATCCGAATACAACTTTACGAGACTTTCACACATACAAAATTTATTTATGTGGAATAAATTCCGAGTCTATTTATACACTTATTTACTTGAAACCTTTTTTTATAGTAATAAATTATATCATCATATTATATTGAGTTATGTGAGATGAGTTACGTTGTTAATAAGCGTTCATTAAGTGAAACATGCAAATGGCGCACGGGCACTAATTGTTTGTTTTATATTTTCAGGTAATTAACCTTCACGTTCCTTTTTACTGAATGGCTAAATGCTTGGCAAGCTCGCAATGTTTGAGTGCGGAGACAACATCGGGTAATTAGTCACAAACATAAGTTATTACTACAATGCATGCATTTAGATAGTCTCACTGTTTGTACCCAAAATTTTATTTAAGCTGTAGACATTTTTTTTTCATAGACGCATATTATATTCGTTAACGCCTCGTCTGTGTTTTAACTATGTAGTCATGCTTTGACGTACCAAACAGTCACGAACATTTAAAGAAAATAAATATTTTTAATCTGTATCACCCATTTATTACTAGCAACCCCGCTCCACTCCTGCTGTCATTGTGTTTTTTCGTGCCGAACAAAACGTTGTGGTTATATTTTCTTTAACGAATACTTTTACGTTTTATGTGGATAAAACTACGAATTACTAAATGAATAAAAAATTGATAAATAAATAAGTTACTGGAGCTGTTGGACGTGTCCAGAATAAGGTAAAGCTTTGTATCGTTTAATATTTTATGTACACAGATATATTGCGCATCAAAAATGTTTTTATTTTCTATATCTATGGAGGATATATGTAACTTTATACGCATTAAATTATATATTTGTGACAAAAAGCTATGTTAAGGGAGATCATTAACTTTTAATTTCATTTTAAAATTGAAGTCATTTAATAAATTTGTAAAAACAACTCATTTCAAAATGGAGATATTAGGATATTAACCACCAAAAAATTTAAGTAACTCCTTGTGGAGTGAATCCCTTATTTTCTCTTAAACACACAGGCCAATGGCATAAAAATATCTAAGATTTATTTTCAAAGACATCATGCTTTATTAAAAACATTATTTTAAAATTTTAACTTCTAGTTCTCAAAAGAGAACAATTTCCCGAAGGGACCACGAAAAGAATACAAATCAGAGTGATCAACACTGGTGAAAATGAAATTAAAAACATAGCTTCCTGAACAAGTCATATCTGAACTTGTCAGAAAGAATTCAAAAATTTAATACTTCATCAAAATACATCCTAATCTTGCAAAATTGTGGCAAAATCATAACAGAACTTGGTCTTTAATAAAGAAATGAAAGATTGGAATTATCAATAAAATAAAAAATCTTATTATTTATAATTGCAACTTCCCTGCGCCACTCTTAAATATATCATCTCTATCATAATATATGGCCATAATGAAATATGCATTATTACACTAAAAGGATAAGAGTGATATTAAAAATTAAGCATTGCTATTAAAAAATTGGTATTACACTGTGATTTGCACCAAATGGAATCTCAAACAAGGTGTCCTACTAGGATTAAATAAGAACAAGAAGAGAAAACAAAAATTAAACAAAAGCAAATTTATTTGGAGAGAACCATGTTACATTTATTTACATTAATATATGATAATCTCAACCAAAGCTTTGAAACACAATAAGAGGTTTCATGTCAGCATCTTTTTATAACTGAATAATAATCCTTTAAACTATTGGGGCCTATCTGGTTTGAAGAGAATGCAAAATCAGGGCAACTAAGTCTCAAACCAGCACCCTTCTCTGCAACTCATCCTCATTCAGGAAAAGTGTCCACCAGCAAACATGGAGTGAAAGAATTAAAGGAGAAATCTGCTGGTAGACAATCTTTATTTTATAGTAATTGGATAAAAATTACAAAACATAAAACCATATTAAAGTGGGTGATATACCTGTAGAATGGAAATATTTTTTTTCAAACACAGCCTCCATTAAACAACTTTTTCAACCCTAGTAAAAAACAAAATATAAAAAATGTTTTTTCTAAGTGGAAACATGGAAACAATCAATGTTTTCCCCAAAAAGGTTGAAATTGGTATTGATACATTGTGACAACACTATTACCAATGAAGAGTCTATAGTCACCGGTAATTTAGAAACTTAATTTGAACTAAATAATATACATACTGTAAAATTGTTCCAAAGTTTTTTGGAATTCCATTAGTCAACCTCTTTGCCACTAGAAAGAATGGCATGTGGAACCGAACTATTGGGCAGTGGATGGTTTTTACCAATTTTTTCTTTATATCAAGTCTAATATCTTAAGAAAGTTCAATTGCCCCTTACTGGCCATCACAACAAGTTTTCACATTGTTTTCAACCTGTTGAAAAATGAATATATATATATATAAATATTCTCCATCCAAATAAAAAGTTAATTATATATCCTCTGTGTACAAACAATCATTAAAAAATTGGTTTGCAGCAATCGTGTGAAACAAAAATACCTAAAAAGGTATATTCAGAGGAGACTATATAC